TAAAAACGAAGCACTTTGAAAGGCTTAAGACTTCTGTTTAACAAAATGACCAACCATAATTCCAGAGGAATGATGAAGAATGCTCCCTGTCTCCAGATAGAGGAAGATGAATTTGCAGAATGAGTCACATATTTTTTCCAATGTGGTTATTTGTTTTACTTAACTATGCATATTTGTTATAACGGTTTTTGTTTTGTTTCGCTTTTCTGGTAGTGGGGAGGGGAGGTAAGAGAGAGAAAAAAAATAAATGCTTCATAATTGGTGTGGGGGGAAGCCAGGAGGAGCTCAAAAATGCATAATTCAATTAAGTGGTCCAAGACTAAATGTGACAAACAGCCTCTTACTCCTCTTTCCGGCTAGTTTATTTCATTAAATAGGGGGTACACTAGGACTGAGACTCTCACATTCACATTCCCACTTTCGGATCAGGTCCACCAGCTTGGACATGTGCCATCCCACTTATCTCACTTTTTCTCTCTCCTGTATATAACAAATTCTCTCTTCATTCATTCCAAGTTCCCACAAGACGCCAACTCACAGGCTACTAAGCATTCAACACAAAAGCTAGCTCTCTGTCCAAATGTCTTCCTTCATTACACCCAAGGCATTTTCTAATATCTAAAAGCCACCAACACCAGTCTCCTTGCTACTTCCTAACACTCTTCAATGACCCCAAGAAATAGCAAACAGTCAGCTTTGTGCCCCCTAAGTCTCAGGCACGCAGCCACTCCTTTGCTATTTGGCCCCAAATCATTTGCAGCATCTGATCTCTGCCAGTGAGCAATGCCTCAGTCTGAAGTTCTGAGTTTAAGAAGAAGGGAGTCGATGTTGTCAGCTTCTCGATTGTCTCTTGCTGGTCCTGGCTCACGTCCCCATCTAGGTTACCTCTGGGAACATCAGAGTCTAGGTCTCCACAGCAAAAGAAAAAGGGTCAGGGGGTCAGGTTATTACAACATTAAATATAAGACAGGTTTTATTTAATCTGAAAAAAACATGTTACCACAGAAAGAACTCATCTAAAGCACATAAATAATTTTTAAAAGTCTTCCCTTCCTTTTCTTTCCAGCTTCTGTCTTCCGGGGGGGGGGACGTGAAAGAATTCCCTTCTGATGCTACCAGTTCTCTGCATCTTCATATTTGCTAGAGAACCTAGCAACCCATCCCTCCAGGTCTCCCTAAGTCCTTCTATAGCCCCTTTTAAAGGCCAACCCCAAGGATTCATTTTAACTCAAATGGATAAACTAGCTGAAGACCCATCAATCATCAGAAGCAGTGTGCTATAAATTGGGGCAAATTGTATCCAGGAAAAGGTAAGGAATTTGTACCTCATCTAGAGATATCATCAGTGTTAGAATAAGGCTTATCTGTGGGGCAATAATGACTTTCCACTTTGTTAAACAATTGACAAAATCAAATGGGTAACTGAGACTCAGGACAATACCTTAATTCACCAAGCCATTTGACTTCCCAGAATCCCCTTTCCTTTATCAATAAGGCAGAAATGATATCTGTGGTCCCTAATGGTTGCTGTGATGATCCAGTGGAATGGTGTATGTAAGGGGCTCTGTAAGCTTTAAGAAAGTAAATATTATCTGTCATTATTAACTTCAGAACTTAAAGGGCCTGTGACTTCATTAGTGTAGGTACTCCCTGCTTTATAACTTAGCTGGTCATCTTAGAGAGTTGCTATGTCCAAAAATAATTTATTACCCTTACCACCAACCTGGTGATGAGCCTCTATGAACTTACCTAGATTCATCCTCAAACAATAGACATGTTAGGCCTATGTTTCCAAGACTTTCTAGCCAAACTTTGATCTTTGCCACCATAGTCTTTAAGAATTCAGGGTCACCTCTGCACTATGATGAGTCATGGGAGTAGGCCTTTAGTGGAGTACTATAGAAGGATATCATTATATTATGGATGTGAGAGCCATTTGAATAGAGGTGATTGTTGAAGTCATAGGAGTGAATGAGTTTATTAGGGATACAAAAGTAGAGTAGGAAGAGAGGAGGATCCAGGACAGAACTTTGAGGAATACTCACATAGTGTGTGAAGATGAGGGGAAGACAGAGGAAAGTACGGAGGAATAAGAAGAGAACCAGCAAAGTATAGCAGTTTTTTTTAAATTTTTAGGCAGTTGGGGTTAAGTGACTTGCCCAAGGTCACACAGCTAGTAAGTGTCAAGTGTTTGGTCTGAGTTAGATTTGAACTCAGGTCCTCCTGACTTCAGGGCCGGTGCTCTATCTACCATGCTACCTAGCTGCCCCTCAAAGTGTAGCAGTTCTGAAGTAAAGAGTAAGACAATATCTATTTAAGTAGGAGTGTAACTATTTCCTGGGGGGATAATTGGCAGTATCTGATAATGCTGAGATATGAAAAGATGCTGGTAGATTTGGTATTTAAGGGATCATTTTTGGTAGATTTAGTAGCTTGAAATACTTATTAAGGAAACAGTAAAATTGGGCTTAGACAACTTTTTAAAGAGGGGCAACATTGTATGGGAGTAAGAGTGTTGCATTTAGAGTCTTCAGGATATGAGTTCAAATTTCAGCTTAGTCATTGATTACTATCTAATCCTGAGCAAGTCATAGACCTTCCCAGTCTCTGCATTGAGGTTGAGAAACCAACCAACAGAAGACCAGCTCATTCACTCCCGTATCAGGTTAGTGTAATAATCCAGGCCTGCACTAGGATCCTGGCATTGTCAGAGGAGAGAAGGGAGCATATACAGAAATGTTATGAAAATGAAATCTGCAGGACTTGGCAGCAGATTGGATATGGAAGGGGAGAATGAGAAGTTGGGATGATGCCGAGGTTGTGGGCCTGGGTGACCTGGAAGATAGTGGTATACTTGTCAGTAATAGGGAAATTTGGAAGATAGGAAGGTTTGGGGGGAAAGATAAGAAATTCAGTTTTGGACATGTTGGATGCATGTGACCTACATAGACAACACAGATATACCCTATGGTTCTTGGTCCACGATGGCATCCTGGAATATTGGCATATTTATTCGCGTTCAATGTGCTGGAATTCACAGAAATCTTGGTGTTCATAGATCCAGGGTCAAGTCAGTCAACCTTGATCAGTGGATACCAAAACAAATACAAGTAAAATTTACTTATGATGAAATTTGATGTTGTTTAAATATTGATTATAAAATATTTGTGTAAAATATTTCTGAGACATATGTAGCACCTGAGAACTAACATTAAAAGGTATAACTGAAAGGTGTATCTATGTCCTTTTGAAGGTACTTCTACTTGACCTAAGATCTAAATACATAAATATATATAGTAGGATTTTGATGATTTTTCTCCTTTACATTTTACTAAAGTTAGAAAAAAGTGATAACCAAAAATAATCAATTTACTTCCTTGGCTTTTTGTAAAAAATTCTCTTAGAAGAAACATTTTAGGAATATTCTATTTGTAAAACTCATAAGTCAAGGAATTACTATTTATAGTATTTATAGTAACTATTTCTCTTTTGGGCAGCAACCCTGAGGGTATTCCCCTCCCAGTTTGATTTTTTTTTTTTATTAAAGGGGCCATCCCTTAACTCACTTCTTAAAGAGGCCTATTCACTGAATGGGTGTTGCCTCACTCAAAGTGAGAACCTGAAAAGACCTTAGCTTAAAAAGGCCAGGGTCTCCCATTGCATCCTGGGCCATCTCCAGTCATCCTGATGAATATCTGGCCCCTGGACCCAGATGGCTCTGGAGGAGAAAGTGAGACAGGTGACTTTGCACACTCCTCCCTTACTCCAAACAAAGTCAATTGCAAGTCATGTCATCATCTCCCTAAGGTTGTGGTCCTCTTCTAGAATGAAGGACAACCAACACAAAACGGTGGAGACAGATGGAATTTTTGAAATCAGAGGGATCTAAGTGTGTTTGTAAGCAGGTGGGGAGAAGCCGGTGGAGAGAGGGATTATAGTCCTACATGTAGCACAAGGTTATGTTCATTCAGTTTGGGGCTTCCTCCACTTTTTTGTTATTTTCTCAAAGCGAGGCTTTTCTATAATTGCTAGACATTGAAGAAGATACTGACTCAAAGAAACAATAACTTTATTTTACTACAGTGTTGATTTTTCATGTTTGTGAGTTTTCTTCTAGCATATGAAAAGCTATTTCCTTGAATTTCATCTACTTGTACCTCCATTTATAACAGAAATTAAGATCTGTAAAAAATAAAATCATTTAACAAATGTGTATTGTCTAAATAAACTAATGGTCTTTTAATGTCATTCTTCCCTCCTCTTAAACTGTAAGCTCCTTGAAATCAGGGACTGATTTATTTTAACTTTGTAGACCTAGAGGCTCACATAGAGCCTTACACATAACTATGTGCTTCATAAATGTTTGTTGAATTGATCTATATATGTTTATAAGAAAACTAAGTTTCAAAAAATAAATTTATATGTTCTTCAACTAACAAAGCTTATCTATAAATAGAACTTTCAAAGAATGGCTTAAAGTAATTAATATATTTCAATTTCCATCCCCTACTTCCCAACTTCCAAATTTTGCTGGGAGGAGAAAAAGGTCTTAGGGAGAAAAATGGGTGTGGGTTTTTTTGTTTATTTGCTTGTTGTTGTTTTTTTAATACCCCCTGACTTTAAAATACCTAGACATTTTATATCTCTGGGCAGAAATCATCAATGTAGACATACTTCTAGAATTCCAGAAAACCCACTAAAAAAGTTTGATCTGCACCATTTGATGACTTACCAGGTTTAACAGTGATTTCTAAAAATTTTTCGTTCATGTTGTCTTGTTACAAGTGCATATAGAATAAGTTCAATGGTAATTAAGGGGAAATTTGCACTAAAAGAACATGAACAAATCATAAAACTACTAATATGAACCTGTAATGAATATGCCTAGGCAGACTAGAAATTATGCAAGACCTACGTGAAATAGTATAAAATAAAGGTGGAATAAGTTTATCTTAAGAGCAAAGTCACTGAAATTTTTTTGTTTTCATTTTACAATCTAGTGTCTGAAGAGGGCTCATCCAGACAAATTTAAAGACCCTATAATGGTTCCTCTTCATGAATTTGCATGGCATGAATTTCTACAAGAGACGAAAAGGGTACTTTTTAAACTTTTTTTTTAAACAATGAAGTTTTATCTTAATTATTTCTGTTTAGAGTTGACTGAAGTGTGAAAGGGTAGCCTTTTTCATACGTGCATGTTATTTGTTAGTTCATATGCTTTTCAAGTTATTTCCATCAGGCTGATGTGAAAAAGTGAAATACTTGTGGGCCTTTGGTCTGGGGACAGCCTAATAAAGGTAAGACTTGACAGGCTTGTGTTCTGTGTAGTACTTCTCAGCGTAGTAATGGGATGTCAGTGAATGTTAATTGATGATAATGATTATAATTGTTTACGGTAGTAATCATACTGCTTTGATAAGAATTATAGTTAACTTGTTTGTTTGCTGTTGTCCTTTATATTCAGAGAGCACCCATATGACATTACTATGTTGGGGTCAAGGTACGGTGTGTCCTACTGTGGCCGATCAGATCAATACAAGCTTGGAAGGCTTTATCACAGGTTGGGCACAAATAATCCATACAAACATTTGGGCTGGAGATGTCTCTAAATTCTTCACATCTCACATTTCTTTTGAACTACTGTAATTGTTTTGCTCATAGAGAACTTTGGTATAATCAGAGGTGGGGAACCTATGGCCTCGAGGCCACATGTGGCCCTCTAGATCCTCAAGTGTGGCCCTTTGACTGAATCCAAACTTCACAGAACAGATCCCCTTAATAAAATGATTTGTTTTGTAAAACTTGGACTCAGTCCAAAGGCCACACCCAAGCACATGTGGCCTCGAGGCTGCAGGTTCTCTACCCTTGGACCATAGATTGGGAGACATGGAGACACTGGCACAGGACTGTCCAGCATGGCATATCCACATCAAAGGAGGCAAAATAGTCACTAGCTCTTCTTTGAACCCTGCCAGGATGTGTAATGGACTGAGAAGGCCTGGGTCTGGTCTGCAACTTCCACTCAGTCTTGATGCACTCGTAAGGAGCTCTAAAGCCCTTAGTTCCATAGTATTTTAGGGTATTTGCTGTGGCAAGCCTTTGTAACATTTAATAAATATAGTAGCAAGCCTCTTATGCAGATGAGTGAGAAAAGGACTTGGCTATATACCACCAGTCACCAGATGAGCTTTCATTTACACAGGCCTTACTGCCCCCCTGGGTGTGAGATTTATCTGTTTTATCAATCAGTCAAGCATTTATTAAGGGCCTACTATGTACAAAGCCATACTGGGCCAAATACTGGGGATATGGTGACAAAAAAGAGACATTCTCTCCCTGATGGAGGAGACAATTTGCATGACATATACAACCATTTACAAAAGTGCTAGGATGGTTATGGGGGAGGGAAGAAGAAAGTATGAGCAGCTGGGGGCAATTTGGAACGATCTCCTGTAGAAGGTGGTACCTGAGGAGAACCTGCAAGGAAACTAGAGATTCTAAAAGATAGAAGAGAAGAAAGATTATTTTCCCGGCATGGAGTCACTTGGGGAGAAGCGTGGAGGAGAAATGGACTCCCTTTTCAAGACTGTGAGCACTCTGCATTGATTACATTTGAGGAGCCACTAGTTTGGATCATGGCTTATATCATGCCCTTTGTTTTCTCTACCCATATTCCCTTGTGCTAGTAGTAGATTTAGAGCACGCAGAGTCAGTCTACACATCACACCTCTCTTGCAGGGTCGTAGTGAGGAATCAAATGAAACAATATTTATAAAAAGAGCTTAGCACAGTACCTGGCACTTAGTAGGCACTCTATAAATGCTTATTCCCTTCCCTTCTCCCATTGGTTTTCCTTCTTGCAAGAGTGGAGCCTCAATAGAGCCCAAGAGCACACAGAGAAAACCGCTCCTTCATCCCTGGTACCCCTTTGCAGCAAGAATCTCACTAGCTCCTTTGTTCTCTTTCTCTTCAGTCAAAAAGCATTTATTAGGCACTTAACTATGTGCCAAGTACAGCTAGGTGGCTCGGTGGATGGAGTGCTAGGCTTGGAGTTCAAATCTGGCCTCAGATACTCACTTGCTGTGTGACCCTGGGCAAGTCACTTAACCCTTTTTGCCTCAGTTTCCACATCTTTAAAATGAACTGGAGAAGGAAATGGCAAACTACTCTAAGTATCTCTGCCAAGAAAACCCCAAATGAGGTCATGGAGAGTTGAACACAACTGAAACAACTAAACAACAGCAAAAGGTCTGACCATGTCACCCCCACTTCAGAAAACTCCAGTGGTCCCCTGTTACCCCAGGATCAAATAGAAAATCCTCTGTTTGGATTTTGCAGCCCTTCATAAGGTGGCCTCTTCCTATCTTTCCAGTCTTCTTCCTTCTTATGCTCCTCTATATCATACCCAATGATCAGTGACACCAGGCTCCTTGCTGTTCCACAAACAAGGTTCTCTGATAAGAGAGTTTTCCCTGGTTGTTCCCAGTGCCTGGAACACTCTCCTTCACCTCCAGCTTTTTGTTTCCTTCAAGTCTGGTTAAAGTCCTGTCTTCTATACAAAGCCTTTCTCATTCATCTTCCTTAATCTTAGTACCTCCCCTGTCAACAGGCAATCACAATGTCACAAGGCTTATATAAAAACCACATTTATTAGAAGAGAAATGAGCACACATGTGGAACCCAATGACTTCGTAGTCCTTACAGAAGTTTGCACATTTATGATAGTACAACCAAAAGGAGAAAATAGGAAGGGGCATGGCATGGCAGGAGAAAGGTGTAGTAATCCCTCCCCAGGGGAGGTGCAAGCGATTGCAAGAGCTGCATTCTTTTCCCTTGACTGCTGGACTATGAAGATAGGAGGGTCTGCTTATCTGCAAAGGACCCAGCTGCATAAGCATCTTTCCCAGCCTGGCACAGGCTGGCTGGTGCTGCCTTGCCTTCCGAGGATACACAGGAAATCCAGATTAGGGTACAAACAACAAATTATATCTGGTGGGATGGGGGCTTCTTCCTTGAAACATTCAGGGCCTCCTGCCTGCTCTGGGTCCAGTGTTTCTGGAAAGCATGGCAACTTAAAAAGACACATTCAGGAGATCCCTTAACAGCCCTTCACACCAGGGAAAGACTCCCCCCAATTTATCCTGTGTATTTCTTGTAGACTGTGAGCTCCTAGAAAAGAGAGACAGGATGTTTTGTTTTTGTTTTGTATTGTTTTTGTCTTTCTTTGTATTCTCAGTGCTTGGTCTGTCAGTCAACAAACATTTATTTAGTACTTGATGTGTGCCAGGCACTGTGCTAAATGCTGGGGCTGTGGTTTGTTTCAGTTATGTGCAACTCTCCTTGATCCCATTTGGGGTTTTCTTGGCAAAGACTGATGGAATCCTAATAAAGCTGCCCCCAATCCCAATATTCTAACTTCCTTATGGGCCGCACTGAACCAGCATGTCCTGATTTAACCACACCACAGGCCCCCAGACTCAATAGAGCCACTGCCCCTACCTAGCCACTCCCCCTCCAGCTCAATATCCTAAGTTCCTCATATACTCTTCACTGCTCACTGGAACAACACCTGTGTCCATGAACTCATATTTCTCACAGAAACAGTAAGCGTGTCCATGTGATGGGATCCCAGGCATTGTCTCTAGCTAGCCACCGCTCCCAGACCCATACCTTATATTTCCCACACAAACAGCAGGTGTGTCCATGCACTTAACCACAAACACAGCCTTCTGATCTCAGACAGGACCACAACAGTCAGCAGTCAGAAAGCAGCCCCACCAGTATGCCCGAACAGGATGTGGACCCCAACACAAGAGCAGGCACTTCTCCTAAGTAGGCACCTGTGCAGTAATAGCAAAAACTGCCTAGGTGAACTTAGGATGTATAGAGAGGCTTGTTATAATAGCATTATCATACATACCTGCCCCATGGCCGTAGGTTTTTCTGTATGCATCGTGGGTAATCGTATATGCAGTTCTACCGAGGCTGGAACCCCTTTCCCATTACCTAATTCCTTGACAAACCCCTCCTGCCTTTTTAATGTTCATCATTTCTGTTGTGTGATCAGCATCATTATACTATAAATTTGCCTGTCTTGTCTTACTAAGTTGCTGGTTCCTCTTGGAACTTAGCCTACTTCATGAGAGGCGTCAGTCTCAGTAAATGCTTATACTTGGATTAGAGGCGGTCTGACTGAATTCTTTGAGAGGTTCCACCACAACACACCATGAAACTGCATCAAGATACTGGAGTGGTTTGCCATTTCCTTCTCCAGCTGAGGCAGACTGGATGAAGTGACTTGCCCAGGGTCACACAGCTATTAAGTGTCTGAGGCTGGATGTGAACACAGAAAGAGGAGCCTTCCTGACTTCAGGGTTGGCACTCTATCCATGAGCTACCTAATTAATTACAAGGGACTGTATTTGGTACTTCTAAGAGTATCATTCACTGACATTTTGGATTTGTATAGTATCATCTTCAAGAAATGTTTTAGTCTCCAGTGTTAATTATTTTCCTGAACACAATGATAGCAGAGCCTGTTAATAATTTTCCCTCTAGGGGCAGCTAGGTGGCACAGTGCATAGAATACCAGCTCTGAAGTCAGGAGGACCTGAGTTCAAATCTGGCCTCAGACCAAACACTTGCCACTTACTAGCTGTGTGACCCTGGGCAAGTCACTTAACCCCAGTTGCCTAATTGAAAAAAAAAATTATAAGTTTCCCTCTAAAATGGGACCTCCTTTCCCTAGGCCTGTTTCCTGCCTTTATCAAAGGAACTACCCTTTAACCCCTTCCAAAACGTGAAATAGTTAAAATTTCTGACTTCAGAAATTGTTGGTGACTTCATTTTGTTTTCAAAATAATATGATGAATGAAATATAAGTAGTTAATATAACAAGAATGTTATGTGTGGACTAGATATACCACTCAAACTTCAATGTTATACAGCATTACAGAAGGTGAGTAAAATGTCTAGCTATGCTGTTAAATATTCAACCCTATTAGGCAAAACTCTTGACAGTGTTTTTAAAACTACTGCCAAGATCTGTGGAAGCATATTACAAACCTTTTTATTTTACCTGAAAATATTAATATTTCTCTGTTCTAAAGGGCCTCTCCAGAAATGGTTCCTCCTTTCTCTCCTTAGAAGGATGACTAATAAGTCCAGGGTAAAAAGAAGAAACACCTTTCTTACAGAAATAGGTGTTAAGGGTAGAAACTAAACTTTGAAAAAAGAATACCTCTAGTCTGGTTAAGACCCTAGCCTTCTACTATCCCCCTAAAGGGACTAGGCTATGACTCACCATTCTCCATTAAGAAAAGTCTCTTTCTGAAGGGGCCCTGCAATCCCTGAGGGAAGTGGACAAAGAAGGAACTGAGTAGTTAACCATTCTAGAGTGTTAACCCCAAATTGCATTTTAACATTTTTCTTTTTTTATATATATAATTAACAAATATATAAATATAGCTATAAAATAAATAAATTTTCTTTATTCAGGATTCCTGTAAATTTACCTCAAATCTTGAAATAGAGAGAAATGTACAAGGGCATGGGTGGGCTATTCTACTTTGGACATTTTTCTAAGTTAGAAATGGTTCTGGGCAGCTAGGTGGCACAATGGATAGAGCACCGGCCCTGAAGTCAGGAGGACCTGAGTTCAAATCCGGTCTCAGACCAAACACTTAACACTTACTAACACTTACTAGCTGTGTGATCCTGGGCAAGTCACTTAACCCCAATTGCCTAAAAGCAAAAAAATTAAAATTAAAAAAAAAAAAGAAATGGTTCTGATTTAGAATTATACAAAATAAAATGGTTTCATGTAAATATACTTAAAATGGCCCTGCATATTAATTTTTTTTTCTTCAACAGAGCAGAATTTCAGAACACAAAAAACAAAAGATTTTGTGGATAGGGACTAAATTAAATTATCCTTCAGCTAATCATAGATTCTAGTTTTAAAGATCTAATGCTTTTTCAAACGAATATTTTTTATTTTTCTTTTCCATTATAGGAACTGAAGGGTGAAACATGGCAATACCCTTCCACTGTGATGTGTTTTATTAATGATCAGCTTTTGGGCAATGAAGGCTGTCTGCAGAAATGGGCTTATAAGAAATGGGGTCAAAAGGATTTTAAGCCCATGCCGCTTTATGAAGCTCTTACTTCGGATTATGTGGCAGATTACTTGAAACATTCCAAGGCAGGTTATGCTTATTTTTCTAAAGGAATAATGGAGTCCTGGATCATTGATATTCATTCATCATTAATGCAGAAACATTTATTGAATGCCTGCTATATGTACATTAACAGGTGAGCAGAGCTTCTTAAACTATGGGTTGCGAGTGGAAAATGTTTAAGAAGTTCTGCAGTAGAGAATAGAAAAGAGCAGATAAAGGACATCCCTTGCCCTTGAAAAGCTTAAAACTGAGTTGTAAAAATAACTAGGTCATAAATTTAGAAGGAACTTTTTAAAAACTAATTAATTATTTTTATTTCTCAACAATCAGTTCCATAAGCTTTTGAGTTTTAAATTTCTCCCTCTCCTTCCCCAAGACACCATGCAATCCAATATAGGCTGTACATATACATTCCTTCTAAATATATTTTCACATTAGTCATGTTGTAAAGAATTAGAACCACAAGAAGGAGGATCCACAAAAAAGACGAAACAAAACAAAACAAGAAAAAAAGAGCAAATAATATGCTTCAATCTGCATTCAAACTCCATAGTTCTTTCTCTGGATGTGGATAGCATTTTCCGTCATGAGACTTTTGGGGTTGTCTTAGATCCTTGCATTGCTGAGAAGAGTTAAGTCTAAATTAGTCATCACACAATGTGTCTGTTACTGTGTACAGTGTTCTGGTTCTGCTCACTTCACTCAGCATCAGTCCATACAAGTCTTTCCAGGTTTTTCTGAAGTCTGCTTGCTCATCATTTCTTATAGCCAATAGTATTCCATTACATTCATATACCATAACTTGTTCAGCTGTTCCCCAATTGATGGGCATCCTCTCAATTTCCAATTCTTTGCCACCACAGGAAGAGCTGCTATGAATATTTTTGTACATGTGGGTCCCTTTCCCATTTTTATGGTCTCTTTGGGATACAGCCCTAGAAGTACTATTGCTGGGTCAAAGGTAGAAGGAACTTTCAAGATCATCTAATTCAACTCCCCTCCCCCCAAGTTGCAAATGAGGAAACTGAGGCAGAAAGAGGTTACTAACTTTTCCACTAGGCCTGGAGTCAGGAAGATCTGAATTCAAATTTGACCTCAGACATTTAACTCACTATGTGACCCTGAGCAAGTCACTTAACTTCTGTTTGCCTCAGTTTCCTCCCTTGAAGAATGGGGGTATAATAGCACCTACCTCCCAGGATTATTGTGAGAATCAAATGAGACGATAATCATGAAAGTGCTACATAAATGTTAGCTATTATTACTATTATTCTTTTCCAAGGTCACATTGGCTATAAGTGTTAGAGCTAGCACCACACTGCCCCATCCAGCCTTTCAGAATTGAAGTGTCAAGCTCCTGGCTCTTATTCTTCTGCTGTGTTAGAGTGAGAGTCAGATATCCCCAGGGGCCAGAGTAGGCCTGCTGGCCGTTCTAGTAGGGGTTACTTTAAGTCAATTGCTTTCCTCCTAACATCTATCAGAGGACAAAAGCACTAAAGAATGGATGATTTATAAAGTCACTTAATAAATATTTATTAAATATGTGACTGAATGATTGGGGGTGGAAAAAAAAGGGCACTTTGGGAGCATTGGGGACTGCACAGACAGGCTGCTTCTGCAAGGGTCTTTGAATCACTAGAGACAAGAAAAAAAAGGGGGTTTTCGAAAGTGGGAGAAATGTACAAAGTGGGGTATGGGAGTACACCAAAGTCAAGCCGCCTACTTAATAACTTTGCTTAGGCCCTCCTAGTAGCAACTCCTAAATAGCCTCTTTAATGCTCTCAATATGCTGCAGCAGTTTACAGTAAAACCCCATTTTTACTGGATAGGATGGAAGCCAAATAAAATCCCATAAAAGGTGGATTTGAGGAGTCTAGAGGAAGGAAACTGGGACTCTTTATCTTAAAAATTATAGTATAGTATAATTTAGCATAGTAATAAAAATGTAGTATAGTATAATATATATAGTGTTCTGTTTCTATGGAATTCTCATATTCTATCTATTTTTCCTATAAAGTGCTGGAATATAAAATATGCCAGTGTTTTTCCTTTTGCTTTTCACTTATTAATTTAAACTTACACATTTAAGTTAATATAAAAGCATATATGCATCTTTGACTGATTTTTTTTTTTTGTGAGGCTGAGTCTCCCTACCTTAACCAGGCTGGAAGCTCGCAAAGCCCAATCTCAAGGCTGATGGGCAAAGAAGCTTTGACTTGCTCCATTTCCAGCTTAGGATATTTTTTCTCCTTCTTAGGCAGCCTGGTAATCCCCACTCCTAGGGACTCACCGTATTGTACTTAATGTGGACATCTGGACGTGCATTTAGCCATCTATAGCAGAGAACTCCAGGAGCAATCCATCAGCCTCAGTCTCTCCTCTTGCCCCCACCCCAATTCCCCTTCTCCCTTGGCAGGAATTACAGGTGTATACCACCATGTTATCTTTGATGTCTCCTCTCCCACTGTAACCTCCATTTAATGTAATCTAGAATTTCTCTTAACCAAGTTACCAGTTTGATGGTAAGCTCTTGGAATGCCTGAGGCTGGTGGTTATTTCAGGTACAGCCCAGGCAAAATAGGGACACTTTGTCTTAAATGAGCAAACATTGTTACATATACAAATAATGTTATCTAAAATGGGCATCCTACTAAGATGAGATTGAACTCAAACTAACAAAGAATAAACAAAATTTAAATTATTTCCTGCTATCTTAATGGATTTGCCCTGGGAAGTGCCAGCCATTGTTAAATTTTCTGTGTCAGCATCTGCACCCTGGAAATTTTGACACACACTATGAATCAGGGCTTGAATTATTTCTTTCTGGCTGTTTGCAATATTTTCTCCTTGACCTGGGAGCTCTGGCATTGGTCAATAATATTCCTGGTAGTTTTCATTTTGGTATCTCTTTCAGGAGGTGATCAGTAGATTCTTTTAATTTATTTTTTACTCTCTGGTTCTAGCATATCAAGGCAGTTTTCTGTGATAGTTTCTTGAAAGATGATGTCTAAACTCTTTTTTTTTTTTATCATGGCTTTCAAGTGATCCAGTAATTCTTAAATCATTTCTCTTCACTCTGTTTTCCAGGTCAGTTGTTTTTTCAATGAGATATTTCACATTTTCTTCTATTTTTTCCATTCTTTTAATTTTGTTTGATTGCTTCTTGATATCTCATGGAGTCATTAGTTTCCACTTGTCCAGTTCTAATTTTAATTAGAATCCAATCTAATAATTAAAGAATTATTTTTTTCATTGAGCTTTTGTACCTCTTTTCCGTTTGGCCAATTCTACTTTTTAAGGAATTCTTTCTTCAATGAATTTTTGTGCCTCTTTTTCTGTTTGGCCAATTCTGTTCTTTAAAGTGTTATTTTCTTCAGTATTTTTTTGTGCCTCTTTTACCAAGCTGTTGACTCTTTTTTTAATGAGTTTTTTGAATCACTGTCATTTCTTTCCCAAATTTTCCTCCAGTTTTTAAATTTGATTTTTTGGGGTTTGTTTTGGCTAGGCAATCAGGTCAAGTGATTTGCCCAGGATCACACAGCTGGTGTCAAGTGTGGGAGGCTGGATTTGAACTCAGGTCCTCCTGACTCCAGGGTTAGTGCTCTATCCACTGCGCCACCTAGCTGTCACCTACATTTGATTTTTAAAATCCTTTTTGAGCTCTTCTGGGAATTCTTTTTGTGTCTGAAACCAATTCATATTCTCATATTTGGATATAGCAGTTTTCAGTTTGTTGTCTTCTTCTGAGTTTATGCTTTGATCTTACCTGTTACCATAGTAACTTTCTGTGGTCAGGATCTTTTTTTGTTGTTTGCTCATTTTTCCAGCCTATTTCTTGACTTTTATCTTTATGTCACAGTTGGGTTCTGCTCCTGGAGTGGAGGGGGCACTGTTTTGTGTTTTTGTGAAGCTGTTTTCAGAGCTGGGGTTCTATAAGCTTTTAGTTCTTCCAAGGTGGTATGATCTAAGAAGAGGTGTGTTTACCACTCTCCTGGCCTGTGCTGTAGTCTGTGAGTGACCACAGGTACTCTTTTCTGCCCTGGAACTGTGACTAGGGTCCCCACTTCCCTGCAGCTACAAGCTCTGGGGTGCTATTACTCCTCTTCACTCTGGGACCATGACCCAGATCCAAGTATGGGCAATGCAACAGAGTCCTGCCCCCAGTGCCAACAAAGAGGCCCCTGTAATCTCCTTCTGACCAGCCGTCTAACCCCCTTAATGTCTATGGGCTGAGAGTTCCAGAAGTTCCCTACAGCCACTGATTCAGTCACCCCTAAGGCCTGCTGTTGGTGTGGTGTGCTGTGCTGTGCTGTGCTGTGGCCGATACTGGCACAGTCTGCATTGAAGTGCACTCCAACCTCATCTTGGTGTGACAGACCTTTCCCTCTAAGTTGTCTTGGGCTGGAAAGTTGTTTCACCCCATCCTTTTGTGGGTTCTGCCACTCCAGCATTTGTTTTGAAGCATCACTTAATGTTGTTTGGAGGGGAAATTGGGGGAGCTCAGGTGAGTCCCTGCCTTCTCTTTGCCATCTTGGCTCCACTCTTCCTTTCAGGGGCTGGGAGGGAAGATTTCATGGTCTTTTTAGACATGAAGGATGGACTCCAAGAAGAGGGTAGAGTCAGTAGCTTTGCCTCCCAGCCACAGAGCAAGTCCTCCAGATTTCTTTTCTTGATGGTGTGGGGAACCTTCCAGGGTTTGTGGCCCAATGTGCAATCTTCATGTTACCTCTGAAACTCCCCGTGGTACAGACCAAGATGGCCCTTGTCATATCCCACCTGACAGAACAGGCTGCTTACTGGGTCACCTCTACTTCATGGAAAATAGATTCCTGTTTGATAATGTGGAAGAGTTTCTACCAGAGCTTCATGAATCTTACTTTCTTTGATCCAAAATTGTCACCTGATAGATTCACTACCTCAGGCAGGGGCAAAAGATTGCTATAGACTATGGTATCTCCTTTCAAACCCCAAAATATGATTTGTTCTAGAATATCTCAGCTCTGATTAGTAACTTCTTAGATGG